AAAATCATCTTTATACCATCAACCCTGTGCCCAGCACAAATCCAAACCACAGCCCATATCAGCCACTGGGAAGAAAATTAACTCTGTCCTGGTAGAAATCAGTACATTCATACCATGTCTGGGTCCCACACAATTGAATACAACTTCACTACCCACCACCCTCTTCCCATTCTCTGACACAGATAACGTTCTCTTATTCTATGAACCACCCCTGTAAAATATCCCTAAAATATCCACAAAATGCCTGTTGAATTAATTTGGTCCCTGCCTTTGGGCTCCATCTGTTCTGGTGGTCACTCAGCACAGGAGGGGTGGTTTTTGCAGGGAGTTCCTGTGCCCAAAGCTCAGGTCAGGTCCCTGCTGCGCTGCAACTTCTCCTCCTCCACCGCTCCAGGTCGTTCCTGCTGCAGTAATTCCTGTGAAATACAACTCTAATCATGGCTTATAACAATTTAAAAAGCACATTCAGTACAATCTCCAGCCCTGGTCCTTTGAGGACTGCATCTTAGAGCAAAGGATAATGTTATAGCTCCCGGTAAAAGCACAAATGAGAGCGGCTTCAACCCCCAGCTTTACCCTGCTCTGYGCTAGCTAATATAAATGTAAATGATCTCTGTAACGTAGTGAAATATTAAACAAATAAAACACACCAAATAGTGAGCTTCTGCCTCCCATGCTGCCCAATGACAGCAGCAAGGCACTGTCCTGACCTGACTGCAGCAGCCGTGTGAGCTGAAAGCCCCCCGGGCGCTTTGCATATATTTCAGTGCAGAATACGCCCTTTTCTGAAGAAGATTAAGCTCTCATCTTTCAGGCTTTGAAATTAAATGGAAGCATTTCAATCTTTTTTTATTGCAGGGATACTGTATTTTAAAGACGATTCACTTTTTTTTTTTTAAATGTGGAATGGTTTTAGGGTAAAAYAGACAAATAGGGGGAAAAAAGGGCTTTTTGGGTTCTTTGTTAATAAACTTTATACCRAGAAAGATGGAAGCAAAATAAAAATGCACTGCTTGGTAGAAAATGAAGAATCACCATATGTATTTTAGTATAATGCTATGCACATAAGAATRAGGAAAACAACTGCAACATAAGAATATTAAGAAAATTAAACTCCTAACGAACTCGAAGTGTTTAAATAYGTCTTTCAGGGAAACAGAGTACTTWAAAGGCTGRGAAATTACTTCATCCCTGTGTACCAGTGCTTATCCACAGCAGCTACATCAGGGTGCTTTTATACTTCAATATCAAATTAATAACAAGATCCAACGACTGGCAGCTGAAGCTGAATGAATTCAACCTCCACGTGAGATTAAATTTCCAGACTCTGTCAACATCATTTCATCAGAAGAGATGAAGCTTTTGCTTTAAAATGCATATTGCAAATATGCTTTAGAGCAGCTTTTGAATTAAACTCTCTGCCCATACGTGCAGGGATTTTAATGCTCCTTTGCTCCCCATGGGAGGCACGGAGAGGTTTTGTCTGAGTTACTCTCAATGTGCCCATCACATGCAGAGCTCTGCTGTAAGGCAGTGACTGGGGAGAAACCTTCTCCAGAGCTTTAGCTGGTTTACCTGCAGGGATGGAGAGAGTGTTTGTCCTTCACCACCAGTGTTATCTTCTCAAATTGGCCATAAACAAGGGACTACTCCAGAGGTGGACAGCTCAACCTCATTTCTCAGCCTCTGTCTTGCTCACATGTTTCAGTCACAGAAYTGGCAGGTAGGAAGAGTTGTTCTTCTTCTCTTCTGGCAGGAAACCTTGGAGAATTTTTTTTTCTCTCTGTTATGGCAAATAATTTAATTAGGTAATAAATACTACCTAATTAGCCCCATGCCACTGCAGTAAACTCAGACATGCATCCTCTGGGATGAAGTTTAATGACTGAAAAGCTCTCCTTGGTTGCTAACACTGAAGGTGTCAGCAGAGTAATGACCTTGCCTGGTCACAGCCTCTAAGAAAAGTAGTCCCATTGAGGTCAGCAACACCCCTCTTAAAATAGTGCACAGGAGGCATACTGCATGTGGATGGAATTTGCAATATTGAACCCATAAAAACAGAATATAGTGACAGCATTTTGCTCTGCACTTAGTAATTCACTGGGCAGGCTTTTTCCTGTTTTCCACGGCAACATAACTGTTAGTTTTAACAAAACCGTTTTGTCCAAGGCCGAATTAATTTCTTTAGAGCAATGAAGCGAGGTTTTGTTCATAGCTCTTTATTTCTGCATATCTATAAAGCTGYTGAACTTCCTCTGCCGGGTAAAATTACCCATCATGAAAATACAATTAGAAAAGCGAAGAATTGGGATTTTTTTTGAATTTTTAGAATATTTCTGCTTCTTTGCCGAGACCTGCAAGCCGTGTATTTATTTATACAAGATATGCATGTGATTTGCATATTTATATTTGTGTCTTTGCATATCTAGAGATGGATACATGCTACTCCTTTGGCACTACTGTTCCACTGCGAGTTTCTCTACCTGTGAAATAAACACTTGTTCCTGAGGGTGCACATTGCTGCAGGTCACTCACCAAATTCTATTTATTCTAAACTGTATTTTCACTGAAATCTCAGTAAGAATTGATGTCCAAACTCTCTTACCCATTTCAGTGATGAGAATCACAAGCAGGGCCTGAGCAAAGGATTGGTACAGAAGGGGCCTGCCAACATTTTTTGCCAGACATGAAGGGTGTTGTGGGGATACCTGCCAGCGTTTGAAAACTATGAATARAGACAAGTGGAGAGGAAATAAGTGCCTGCCTCATGATTCTGCAGGAATACACTGGGCCCTGAACCAATTTCTACACTGAAGTCAGTGGCATTACACAGAACAGAAGCCAGTGCAGACTCTATACTTGAATATTTTTAGACATGGCAGGGTAGGTAAAATATAGATTACATCCTTTGTAATCTCTGCCTACTATGTACTACAGAATAGGAAAGCCCCTGGGTAATCCAGGCRCTGCACACCCAAAATTTACCTGTTTGTCATCACAATCACTTTCAACTGTTGCATTTGCAATTCCATGGAGAGGAATACTGAAAATATTGGTGGTTCAAAGCCAGGGAGCTCAGCTGAGCTTTAAGTAGCCTTTGTTCCACAATTCATGACCCCAGARCTGTGAGCAGCTTTCTGGTGGAAGCAAGGATTCATAACTCTTCATTTTTTGGTTCTCCACAGGCAAATTTCATGAAAATACTTTTGTGAACAGCACAACTGGCAGAATATGGCTATTTTGAGGTGTTTGTGTCTCAGCCTAAGTGAAGCTAGTTCCTAATATACCTGATTGTGTGCTCACCAAATTTGGAGAATTAGGCCATCCTAAAAGGAAAGYTGCAGTATCTTCCATGATGGAAACTATGGTAAACTACAACATGAACTTTGCTACCTGATTTCAATAAAATATACTCCTTCTTGTAAATGCAATCATCTTTTTATCCTCTCCTGTGTCCTATTGTCAGAATATATGGTTGTTCAAAACTTGTGTGGGAGGCTGGAGAAAATATYTGCAAGTTAAGGCACATCAGAGCAYGGACTGCCGTAGTTTTTGTGAGTTGTGGAACGGCTTTTGACTGCATGGCTTTCTGAGTGCTAAAAGGGGTGTAGGGTTTTTGTGAAGGGTTCTTCCATGTGCAGTGTGATGGCAGGACACATCCTGCAGCCATTTAACAGCTGCCATGGTCACGGTAGTTGTGTCAGGATGAGAAATGTCACCTCAGATCTTYGGCAGGRGAGAGATGCRGAGCTGCCTGCCRTTAATTGTCTCGCATTAACTYCGGTGAAACACTRCTACAGAAAAAAMCCCAAAACAACAAAAAAATGTAKGAATAATTGTGAATGAAGAGCAAACTGAAAATCTTCTGGCTCGTGCAGCTGCAGAGTGTGTGACCTCTSGGGGGTTTGATAGGGAAAAGTTGCCATGGGAATGCTGCGGCATTGTTTGCGGCTGACTTCAGCTTTTATTGTTGTGCTCTGATTACAGCTTTTGTTTCACTCTGAAGTGCGGTGGTTACACTGCCAGCTCGAAACAAAGATGTATTTGCAGGCAGTGGAGGAGATCAAATGGTTTCTATAATTAGAGATATCACTGCTTTAAGCGAGGGGAAAAGAAATCTGTGTTACTATTTCAGAAAACAAAGTTTTTCAGTATAAATTTAGTATAAGCTTAGTAGAGAAGCAACTCGCCAGTAAAACCGGTTAAACATCGTTATTGGAGATTGTTATTTGCCACTAGGACCAATGGCTAAAGGCTATGAGGTGGAACCCACCTGAGCCTCCAGGTGAAGATAATCCAGCTGTGGGATACACAGACCTCGAGTMTTTTGCCACATGAGCAAGGTATGCACAGATGTACATCAACATCTTGATTTACTACATCCTTAAAGCTTGTTGGCTCCAGGATGTCCGTGAGCAAGTGAAGCAGGCTGTGCTGTGTGTTTTGAGGGCACTGCTGACTCATTCACTTTGCCATCAGCCAGGACCCCGCTCCCTTTCCAGAACGCTGCTGTCCAGGGTCATTCCCCAGTCTGTCTGTACRTCCAGGGCTGATCCAWCCCAGGCACAMAATCTGGCACTTGGCCTGCTGAACATCATATGGTTGATGAATGACAGTCTAATAGAATCACAGATCACAGAATGGTTTGGGTTGGAAGGGACMTTAAAGCCCATCCAGTSCCACCCCTGCCATGGGYAGAGACACTTTGCACTCYCTGAAGTTGCTCCAAGGCCCAATGTCCAACCYGGCCTTGGACAYTTCCWGCCACATCCACAGCTTCTYTGGGCCAGGGCCTCCCCACCCTCACAGSGAACAATTTCTTCACAATATGTTATATTTCCTTCCCTGCCTGGGCATTCCCATTAAATAAAAKATTAAAACCCCAGTAATTGGACTACAATTCCCATCATGCCCCGCGCCTCAGGCCCGCCCYTCGCCCCGCCCCTCGCYCCGCACTACATATCCCAGCRGGCTGCGGGGCGGCGCGGGCGGCRGTGCGGCGGCGCATGCGCAGGGCGGGGTCCCGRCGGTGCGGTCGGAGGCGGCGGGACGAGCCCGTTCCCGGAGCGGGACGCGGGAGCGGGGCCGGGAGCGGGCCCGGGGAGCGCCCGGCTCTCCTCACGGGGCTCCCGCACTGCCAGGACTCCAGTAAGTGCCTCGGCCCGGGGCGGGGCTCGGCCCGCCCTGGGTGATGCCCTTCCTTCCGCGCCTGCCCGGTGTGTGACCGCGCAGGGCACCGTCCCGCTCACCCYGCGCCTCTCYCTCCTTTTTTTTTTCCTTTCCGTTTTCCCTGGAAGGCGCTCGGCGGCTCTGAGGGGGCTCTGCCCGTGGGTGTCCCGGTGGCGCGGRCAGGGCGCTGTCACAGCCCCAGAGGTAAGAGGAGAGGTGATCTCATTGCTCGTCACGGTCTGTGCTCCCCGCGCTCTCCCTCAGCGCTCCGCTGTTGGAGCACGCCGGGAAGGTGCGATGTTATCGGGCAGAGCCCTGCAGGGATGGTGCCTGCCAGGGTGTGGGCTCCCCGAACACCCTCCTCGGCTCGGTTTTGGGGATCCCAATGCCACCGAGGAGAGCTCAATGGGGCTGGGACAGCCAGCGTGGAGTGCTGGGTTTGTTTTTAGCTTGGAAGGTACAAGTGCTGCACAGGGTTGTGTGGGGARGCTGTTGGCACGCTCCGAGCTGTGYTCGGGGTTAGCTGGTTATTTACCGAACCAAAGTGTCTTTAAATGGATAACTTGACTATAAATGAATGTTAAACTGTAACCACTGTTGTTATATGCGCAGTTTTTATCACCTGTAAAATTCCAGATAGGTGTTCGACGTGCTGCTAAACTTAAAACGGGCTTAAATTTCTGTATGTGTTGTGCAGTTCCCTTGGGAGGAACTAATGCCTGACCTTCATAAAAGGCATTATGTTATTGCATCAAATGTTTGCAAAGTGACATCAAGAGGACAGCAATTTTCTCTTTGGCAACCTGCTGCTTTGAGGTATTTTTTAAAAAAAGTCTTAATTTTCACTAATCAGTGTGCTGTGTTTATAATCAAGTGGCATGAACAGTCTTCAAGGGAGGAAACAGTTTTTACTTTGTTAGGCTGAGCACCTGAATTAGGCAAAACAGTGCTGCTTACCTGAGTAAAGGTGGCTGGTACAATCTTTGTTGAATTGGGTTTTTTTTTTTATTCTTAAGAGCCACATCTCCCCATGCTTCACCTTCTTATCAAAGCAGAATAATTTTGAAGAGACCACTAGGCACAGAGCAAGCTGAATAGCATCAACTTCTCTGTTGCCTTCTGACAAATTTCTTACTTCCTAACAGAGGCTGTAATGTCTATAAAGATAAATTTTCTCTTCTTCCTCAATCCCATACGTGACCCTGCAGGACAGAGCCATATTTGATTGTACAGTTTGGGGCCTATGRCATGCGAGGAGTGGCTTCTCACTGTTGAAACCAACGGGGTTTGTTGGGCTTTGCGTTTTGGTTTTTGCTTTGGGTTTTTTTTTTTTTTTTTTCAGTTTGTCTACTTCCTTCTTGTATTTGGGCTGCATTCATTTTGATACAGCACAAACACAATCCTAACCAAGCTGAAAGTGTGTGTGGCAACTTCGGCTTGTTGCTCTGTCTTATGGAACAGTGAACTTGCATTTTTGGTCCATTCAGTCCTGTTTCCTCCTACTTGTTAATTTTTAGTTGAGAGAGTCACACAAGYAACAATACATAAAACTGTCAGGTTTGTGAAGCACAGAAGTGTAGAAGTGCTGTTTTCCCGTTTGTCTCATGAGGAAGTGTTAAGAGTGGGCTGAAATCTCTTGTGGTAGGGAGAGATGCTGGGCCTGGTTGATGTTTGGAGGAGAGCCTTTTAATTCAGGGATAGATAAGCACTGATGCAGGAAGTGATAAATCAAGAAATAGTACATGGGGGTTTTATATATCCTGGATATCAATGAATGCTACACTGCTGGAGTCAGCTTTGCATAAAATATAAACCTCTCTGTGACTCACTGAGTTCTATTTGCAGTTATTAAACACTGCGATTTGATTTGGTGAGTGTAGGAAATTTTAATTCAGAGTTCATAAAGTCTAAAGATGGCATCTGTTTTCTCAAGCTATTTCTCTGCTTTAAAGCTACAGTTGGCYTCATGTTCCATTGTATATCTCTGCRTTTTAAGGGTGAAATTAAAGAAAAAGGTGCACAGTGGGTCACTGGCAGGTGTAGTGCAGTGTTGAAATGTTTCAGAGGAGCAGATGCTTTCATACAAATTGGAGAGTAGGCAAAGAAGAATCACTGTGTGAAGAAAATAGGCAGCATCTTAATGCTTTCCCTCCTCCTCTCCTCCTGTATTTATTTTTCCTCAGGAGTAGTAGGTGAGTGACAGAAGACAGACACACACATGGGGAATACAGAAGGCTTGTGCATGAGGAAGAGACCTGAATGCAGGAAAAGGCCTTGTTTTCTCCAGGTAGCTGGGGCTCATTCCAGAAGGCAGCAGAGCTATATCAGCTCAAATAAAGGCTGTCTGCATGTCAGAGAGTTGGTGTAGAAGAGAGGAAGTGCAGAAGTCAGATTTTATTGACTGTAACAGATTAGAAAGAACTTGAGGACATTACTGAAATGAGAACAGATCTGTGCTTGTAACACAGTCTCCACTGTAGTGTTGGATGTAGCCCAAACTGCCAGGCCTGCAAAATTCTTAATCTATTTTAGTAGATTTAGAATTCCATTGATGTCTTTATTACTGACTGTTCTTGGTTATTTGAGCTGACAGTTATCATAGTAAATGCAGTTCCTCCAAAGTGCAGCAAACCAKCAGTGTTGGGAAGTGAGTACATGTTCAAATGAGAAGTTTCCTTKCGTGCTCTGCTGTGCTCTTGGATGTATCCAGCTCTGCATCAGTGTTTAGACAAACAATAKCTTGTGATACGAGAGTATTTATCTGTCTTTCAGGATGGTTTTTGGCAGGTTTTTTTTCACTGGTAATTATGAACAATAGAAACAGYCTTAGAAAATACTTACTGGGGTTTAGAGCCAAGTGAACCTTTGTGCAGTTGTATAATTGCATGAAAATACAGGATAGTAATTTATTTCAGTGCCAAAATGGGAATKTAGGTAACTGGCTTTACCATAAAACATTTTTACAGATTGGAGTAAGTGCTTAAGARGGATATTATATAAGAAACACAACAGTCAGTACATGTATTCTTTTGGTTTTGAACCTAAATGCAATAGGACATGTCTAAAATCATTGCTGTCAATGATTTATGAAATTATATAAGAAACCTAAATATCATAATCCTAGCGAGCTTATTTGACATATGAAAATAATGTAACTGCTTTAAAAAAGTTGCCTGCTGAAGAGGTCTGAGTGACAAGAATGGTTCAAGTTCAGGTTTTGAAGTTCTGCTTTAATGCAGAGAATGACTGAAACGAATTGGAATGGGAGATATGGCTGAGCTGTTTCAATTTTTTTTCTGCTCTTGCACTGATCTTTGAAATTAGGGCTTTGAAAAGATACGGGTCTAAGGTCATCTTGATACATGCTGTACCCTAACTGTGAGAAATATTTAGGTACATGTTGGTATGGGGCTCAATTCTATAAATATCACTTTCCTCTCAGTGCTAGGTAAAAGCAGCAGGGTTTTGTTGCTGTTGAGGAAGGAAGCTGGTTCATTGTCTCAGCACTGAGCAGCATTTTCTCCCTCCAGGGACTTGCAGAAGCATCTAGAATGTGTAGGTGTTTCTTTAATCTTGGAGAAGGAACTTATTAAGCTTTCTGGTGCAGAACTGTATGAGCCACTTACTCTTAACAGATGTTATCTGCTCAAGTAGGGAGTTGCAGGTCTGGTAGACATTTGTGGCATTCAACAGTTTAAACAGTTTTCAGGTTTGAACATATGCCTTTGCCTTAAAATCTGAATAGTTTCAGGTATTTTATGTAGAAGAAAGGTGTTTCAATAGTGAAGCTGCTGCTCTGGGACTTGGTAAACAGGTTCAGCTCATTGTGTTGCCAAAAAGCTTCCTGTGTGGCCTGGGACAAGCTGCTTCTCTGTCCCTCCATTCTCACCCTGGGAGTGCAGAGCAGCAGCTYTGTGCTAAGGGTACATCAGGATGTGTCCAGGGATGGTGCTGATGTGGGGSACAGAGCTCCCTTGTACTGGGAGGGAGAGGTTGAAGACACTGCCCCAGTTAAAAACTAGGGGTAAGCTCCAGGCAGGAGGAGGAAAACCAGAAAAATAAGGGTTGGAGAAAAGGTTTTCTCTGGAAATCTCTTGTGTCACTTAGAGAAAGCAAGTCCTTAAAACTTTAAGGAGCACTGCATGGCCTTGTTTGTTTAACAGAATTTTAAAACAATGCTTAAAATATCCACACAAACATCTAAATCTTTTATGTTATGGTTCTTCCACAAAGGGAGCAGTAGCAAAGCTCACTCTGTTCTCTTCTTTGGAAGATGCTTTTAATTCTAGCTAACCATTGCATCCAAATGTTTTGGGTATCAATTTTGCTCATTTGTTCTGCTGGCATGGTAAGCAGAATCTCTTAAATTGGACCTCATTCACTGACTTTTCATGTAAAAGAGGTTGAGAAAATACAGCTTTTCTACCTCTCCACTCCCCCAAAGGGAAAAAGAATTTGCAGCCACCACTAATGAGCAGTGCCYTTAGTAATGGTACAGAGTTTAAACTATTTTGGATTTAAAATCCTTCTGGTGAAAATAGGGCGCTGTCATTGCTATAAATCGAAAATGTAGACTAGACAGCAATTATCAAGCTTTGCAAACATGTTTTCATTGTTTAAAGTCAACACTCCCAGGAATAKTCTCTGTATACTGACAGATAGGTGATAAATTAATTCATTTAATATGTAATTATTTTGATGTGTGTGCCCTCCCTGGGTGCTTTGGTACCCACCACATTTACATCCCATGTCCAAGAAWATGTGTTGGAACTTGTTCAGGGTAGTGACTTAATTAAGTGTTCTGTTGAGCACTGAAACAGTTACATGCCAGGCTTGTTGTAAGAGTGAGCAGTCCTCTTAAAACTGCGCTTCAAAGTTGTTAAATATGTTGGTTAACTCTTTAGGGAGGCTTAGCATGAYAAATGGGAATTAGGCTGTACTAACAATTCAGCTGACAAGTTATTTCTGTGTCTGATAGCCACCATGCCTGTGTGTTGGGTAACTTGAACAATGTTCTTGCTTCAAAATTGTCTGCTGATTCAGGAATTAGGGCTTCGGTTCTCTTGAYTTYTTTTTTTTWAATCATTAACCTTTTTCTTTTGTTTATTCCTTAAATCGTATTCACTGTAGGCGCTGTAATTTATTTATGCTTTCCTAATTTGTGCTGATGCCCTGATTTTTGGGTTGAGGAGCGTGATTCCTTC